TGCGGGTGGGAAACTCACATCCTCCACCCTGATCCTCAACACCGGAGCCCCTCAAGGCTGCGTGCTCAGCCCTCTGCTCTACTCCCTGTTCACTCACAACTGTGTGGCCACACACAGCTCCAACACCATCGTGAAGTTTGCTGACGACACGACCGTTATCGGCCAACTGCACAGCACATCACCAGGAAGGAGCTGCCATCAATGGAGGACCTTTACTCCCAGCGGCTCAGGAAGAAAAGCCCTCAGGATTATCAAAGACCCCCATCACCCCAGCCACAAACTGTTCTGTCTGCTGCCGTCTGGCAGACGGTACCGCAGCATCCGGACTAAAACCACCAGACTCAGGGTCAGTTTCATCCCACAGGCCATAAGACTGTTAAACACCTGAACTTTGAAACAACATCCATAACATTAAGCTGGTTGCTAATTATTTATCTAATATATCATATTCCAATGACTTGTATGTAGACTCTAATTGAACTATTTCACATTTTTCTTTTTGTATTTACTTGCACTATTTTTTTCTGTTTTTCTGTTTTATTGTGTTGCTCTGTTGGAGGAGCCTGTGACCTATGATTTTCATCGTCATAACTACACTGTAGCTATGTTCGTATGACAAATAAAAGCCTTGAACCTTGAACCTTGAATGTGTTCGGCTTCTTACTTTGTAGAATGTTCCATCTTTCTCCACACTGAGGACAGCAGGAGTCTCCTGATGGAGGTCTCTGCTCCCAGTATGAGGTGATGCACTGTCTGCAGAACCAGTGTCCACAGCTGGTAGAGACTGGATCCTTCAGGACGTCCTGACACAGAGCACAGCTGGACAGCTGCTCCTCCACAGGAACAGGACTCTTCCTCTTCCCTCTATGGAGATGAACACATCCTTTATAACACTTTACATTAGTGGAGCTGATTCTCACCAAAGGTACAAGGTGGCAAATTCTAGTTTGATTTTTTTTTTAAAAGTCTGTATAGATGCTATTTCATCATGATAAGGTAGATAGTGGTTAGTTATTCATATAATCAGGGAACCACACAGCTTTGTGTCTGGGTTCATAACATCAGCTGTATTAATCTGGTACACTTTAGCACTATGAACCCAATTTACATATAATTTGCTGTGAATTAATGTCTTTAAAGATATGGAAAGGATGCCGAAATAACAATGTAATGATAGTGATTTGTTAAAAGCCTGAGTTAATGCTTTGTCAGGTCTGTCTGCAACACAACAAGCAAAACACTTTAAATGTTAGTTTTCTGAATGGAAATCGATTAAAGCTAGGCTAACGTTGTAGCTGCTGTGTCTAAATGACATCCAGTCATAAGAACAGCAGCTATTATATTGTTAGCACCACAGACAGTCTCTGGTTTATATACAGGTACATGAAGAACCCTGATTTAACATGAGGTGCTGTAGAGCTCTGGGTGCTGATGTTCCCTCTTCTGATTCATCTCAGCATGTCAGTGACCACAGGAGCAGAAGCTCAACACTGACAGGTTTTTGTAACAGAGCGTCACAAACTTCACTCTCAAGTTGCAACTTTACAAGTTGTGTGAATACACGGGGGGGATATACATTTCACATCTTCTTTTGATTTGTGTTGCCAGGCACATTTATGCGCATTGACCCTACAGTTTATCGCACCGCACAAAATAAATCGGCTAATGATAAATACAACCAGCTCACCCGGTTATTACTATCATTATACTATATTACAGAGTGTCTGTACTCTACTGCCCTCATGTAATTATAAAAGAACCGTTTAGATGATCAGATAATATCAAAACTGTATCCTCTTCAGGTCACAGTAGAAACAGACTCTTACTTTGTGTCTGAGGGTCCGGGTTCATCTCTGAAGTCTGGAGGTTCCTCTTCAGACTGCTCACTCTTCATAAACAGACCGCATAGGACTGGAGATTTGTCCTCTTCAACTTTGAAATCACTCATCTTCTCCAGTCTGAGAGAAAAACCAGTAACACTACACACACACACACACACACACACACACACACACACACACACACACACACACACACACACACACACACACACACACACACACACACACACACACACACACACACACACACAGACACACACACACACACACACACACACACACACACACACACACACCACACACACACACACACACACACACACACACACACACACACACACACACACACACACACACACACCACACACACACACACACACACACACACACACACACACACACACACACACACACACACACACACACACACATTATAATAATAACATGATGTCAATCTAAACCATCATAATGATAAACTTGGTTTCAATACATCAACTCAGTCAGACTTCAGACAGGCTGCTCTCCATGTGACTGCGCTTGGCTGTTACATGTTATGAAACTCTGATTTAGAAACCAGGAAATGGATAAAAAAGTTCACAACATTTGAAGATGTCACTTTCAACTCCAGGAAATAAATATATTTGTATTTACAGATTATTTTCTGACATACAGTTCAACTGAGTAAATGATTAAAGTGTTAAAAAGCAGAGTCTGTTGTTAAAACTCACTCTGTTTTCCTCCTGCTGCTCTGCCGAAGTGTAAAATGGAGTCTGGCAGTTTGACTTCCTTCTTTCACTTTGAACATCCTTCCCTGTCTGTAGCTCCTCCCTTTGTTTCATAACCAGCCTCATCACATGGACAGGTACAACAGGGATTATGTTCAATTGCTCTCACAGTAAGACGGTTACAAAAACACGTATAGGAACGATATAAATAGACATGCAGCTAAAAACAAGGAAAATAAAGTTATTGAAGAAAAAGTAATAAAACCACAAAGTGAAAATAAATCTAAAAACATCCTGCATTCAAAACCTTACTTGTTGTTGTTTTGGGTACTCTAGTGTTAACTGTGTATTGTTCCATATTATATATATTTGTTTGTGGAATAGTATTACTGCTGCATGAATGCTCAAGTTTCATTTTGTAGATTATTTAAACTCCTTTATAAACTCTTTGTTTGTTTAATCAGCAGCAATGCAGATTCTATGAGATCAATAGTGTAGCAGGATAGACTGTTCAGCCCTATCACCACACGGGGCAACCTTTATAAAGAGGGGTCAGTGTCGCTCTTGCTCCCTCTTGCTCTTTGGCACGAAGGCCACTTCCGGGTTCCGCTGACGTGCTTTATCCGCTGGCACCGGTGAGTTTGCAGTGGCTGCCGTTTGTTGTACACCTAGCATGACAATTAGCCTAAATACTAAATGTATCACTGGTTGTAGACCCTTGCAGGGATCCTGCAGCCCATGTCTGCTGCCGCTGTAAATGAAGCTCTCCTGCTGTGTGTTTGTCTGAACTTGGCCTGATCGGTATGTAGTAGTGATGGTGAGATGAAGCCTTATGAAGCTTTGAAGCTTTCCAGCCAATTGGTTCGCAAAAGGGTTCATCTCATGAGGCTTCATCATGGGCTTCATTTGAACACAAACCCCCTGTTGGTGAAAGTGTGTACAACAGCCAGATTGGACATCTCAACAGTGTGCTCTATCTCATACCGAGTTCCCAATGAGTAAAGCCTTAGAATAACTCTAAACAACCAACATTAAATCATATCTTCATGTTAACAATATTGTTGTTATTCCAGTTGAATGATTGTGATTGAAAAGCCTAAGGACGCTGGTAAACATTGCAAAGAGGGATTTGTATTCCTTAATAATATTCGTAAACGTAACCATGTTGTAGCCTGAGAAAGGCTAAACCATATCAAAGAATACATTTATTAACTACATTGTCTCATTTAGCTGTAGCTTTTATAAACAACAAAAAATACGTATTGTTCAGTCGTTGAACCAGAGACCCTGCGGTCGTGAGTCAACTGCTTTCCAGCTGAGCCACAGCACACACACTACAGCTCTCTGAAAACACTGGAACATATTTATTTCTGTATTTATTCATGTTTTTATTCCTACATTTATTTATGCTTGTATCTATTTATACGTTATGACATGTTCCGACCTCTATATAAGTGAGGGTCTGAGCTCTCTTGATTCCATCGTGTCACCGGGCCCGGGTACAGGAGGGGTAATATGGTTCTTATTATACATCCATTGGTATTATGAGCGTTGTGGTTCAACCGATCTGAATCGCTTCGTGAAGCAGTCACGTGGTATCGACAGGCAGCGAGGCTTCGTTTGTCATCGATGACGTCACTGGCACAAAACGATACAAGCCTCGATACATGCTTCACAAAAAGCTTCGGGGATTACTCGACACACGCTCCGAAGCCTCGGCGCAATACGTAACATCACTAGTATGTAGACCTTCTGCTTGTCTCATTCTTCCTGAATGATCTTAACCTAGTATTGTTATTGTAACATCACCTGATCGCTTAATGTCTGCTAGGCTCTGCGCTGGAAGCGTGATAAAGGACTTCTGTTTTGCCTCTATGTCTGTGTTGCATTCACGACTGCTCTACGTCTATGAGTGTATTTATGGAGTCAGATTTGGGTCAATATTCTAGCATGTAAAACAAGCTACTCACGAGCGGAAAATGTGCTTTTACACACGCATAAAATGACTCGCGCGCAGATTAAACCGCCGCGAGCGGCTATGCGCTCGCTCGCGAGAGAGACAGCCCTCTTGCTCGCTCGCGGGAGGGTTACGGCCCCTACACACGGCGGCGTGCGTTGCCGCTTCTGCCCATTCACTTTGAATGGGGTGACGTCACTATTCGCCGAACTGCATTGTGGGAGCAAAGCGTAGCTTCTCTCGCGGTGCTCGCTGCAAAAGTAGAGCAATGTTCTACTTTTGCCGCCTCGACGGAGAAGTCAGCCAATCAAATCCCGCGTATGCAAATCTGACATTACAAGCGCTAGCCAATCAAACCGCGTGTATGTTGGGAGAGCCAGACCGCAGTTATTTCCCATATGTCAAAAAATGGAGGAGAAAATTATCGTGGCGGTACTATATGACCACCAGTCCCTCTTTACATACAGGGATACAAACCGGAGGAGCCAGGCATGGGGGGAGGTGGCAGAGACAGTGGGTGACACTGGTAGGTTTTCGCCTGTTTGGAGAGTTTATATCCAGTGTACTTCGTTTGAATGGACAGCTAGCAAGCATAGACAGTATATTTAGCCAGCATGGATGTAGCATGAATGCTTTGCTTTGTATGTCCGGGGCGGGACATTCATGTGATTGGTTGTTGGTCGCGTTGCTCGCGTTGACTCCCCAAGCTCAAGACACGCCCACCGCCAAGCGGCAACGCACGCCGCCCTGTGTAGGCTCCGTCAGCCTCACTCACTCGCGGAGTCTGTCTATGCGCGCGTGAAAAGTTTCTGACATTTATGTTGCGGAGCCACTGGACTTTGATTGACAGCTGCCAGGAAGCCCGGAGTTGCCAGGTTTGATAAATGCCTGAACTACCAAGAGCCGAGGAGTGACAGCTGCAAGATCAGTTGGACGAGATTAAATGGTAAAGTTGTCCATAAAAAACTATTATATTCGTAAAGTGTACAGCTAATATATATATTAATTAATTTGATATAAAACAATATATTTTTGAGTGGAAAACTGCTAGCTACTGTCTGCTGTATGCACCTCCCTTACGAAATGAACTATACATGAATTATAGTATTACTATAGTATACTATAAGAGTTGTATAGTGTCCTTTAGTAAGTTTGTAGTGTTCTGTAGTATTTTTCACCAGCTATTGTATTACAATAGTTTTTTCTGTAGTGCCATTTTATTAGCTATAGTAGCCCTATAATATTTCAATAGTAACACTATGTATCTAGATCTTTGTAGTATTCCTATATTTTAAATAGTATAACTATAGTATACTATATAGTGTTTCTGTAGTTGTTTTTTGAACACACTATAGAACACTCCTATAGTAATAGTATAATGAATGCATATTATTACTATAGTGTTTGTAAAAGTATTGCACTCAGAATTAATGTGTCATTTTTTTATATCAAATTAATTTATATATATATATTAGTTGTACACTTTACGAATATAATAGTTTTTTATGGACAACTTTACCATTCAATCTCGTCCACCTGATCTTGCCGCTGTCACTCCTCGGCTCTTGGTAGTTCATGCATTTATCAAACCTGGCAACTCCTGGCAGCTGTCAATCAAAGTCCAGTGGCTCCGTCCCAAAGTGCCAGAAACTTTTCATGCGCGCGTAGACAGACTCCGCGAGTGAAGCTGACACTCCCGCGAGCGAGCAAGAGGGCTCTCTCTCCTCGCGGGGGTTTAATCTGCACGCGAGGGTCATTTGAGGCGCGTGTAAAATCACATTTTCCGCTCGTGAGTAGCTTGTTTTACACGCTAGAATATTGACCCAAATCTGACTCCATAGTATTGCCTGCTGTTAGAAATTAAAATCAATGTTTTGATGGCATAATGTACCTTAAATGTACCTTCAGTTTAAATGCTGTTTTATACTGAAAAACCAGAAAATTATTGTGCACAACCAGTTAAGCTTTTATTCTGAAAATCCTTCATCTCCGGTTAGCATGTGGCTAGTTTACCATTTCTTATAGAGGTTAATTTAGTAGCGAAATGACATGGAGTGATGCACACCGAAACCTACTGATTTTAACACTGCAACTATAGACGTATTATTATTGCTGAATATTAAATGAAGGTATAGTTTATTTGAATAAAGTTATTGTTTACAGACGTGGGTAAGATGTGACAACTTCCGGAATGACCAGAAACCAAACCAGCCGTGAAGTATTTTCTGTATTTTTTAGAATATTAACTACAACGTTTAGAATGTGATGAAAGACAATATGAGGAGAAGAGGCGTGTTTAAGTATGTATTGAATGTACAATGCCTGAATCCTCTGTTTAAACGTAACAACGGACATTAAGATGTGGAGGGCCGGCCCGCAGGGAGGAGCCTGCAGAAGCTATATAAGAGCAGCACCTGAGCGGTTCGGCCTCTTTTCTCTGCTAGCGAGGGCCAGAGACAGCTGCTTTTCTGTCGGACAATATCCTGTTTGTGACTTTACCACGCCTTTTTATTAATTAAAGTACCAATTTGAAAACATCTCAGAGACTCCATTTAGTCTCCTTTTTAAGCTTCTCTTTCCTGGACGCGAGAATAACCATCACAGTTAACAATTGGTGCTCCGCGACGTGATTCTCGTTGGACAGAAGAGACTACACAACCAGCTGTTTTCCGGAGACGCGGTTTCCGTTCGACACAACGAGCTCGAATACTTGGTAAGAGGAAACCTGTTAAATCAAATTCTTCATAGTTTATGCACTACAAAATAGGTTTGTGTTGGACGGAGGCCAGCGGATCCTGAAAATAGCTGTGTATTTAATGTCAAAACAACCAAATTTATAACAATAAGAATTCCATAACACATGGCGTTGCATTTTCACAATCAGGGTGAGTTCCAATTTCTTTTTTTCTTATATCTAACCCTGCATGCTATTAATTTGTGTGTGTGTAGTATTTTAAAATATAAATGTGTGTGGCCATTGTACTTTGGGTAGGTGTCTTGTTGTGTTTTCATGTAGGTGTCCCTTGTTACGTCAGTAGTTAAATTAGCCTATGACGTAAGGATATATAAGTCCATTTAACGATTATTGTTAAGATATATGGGACATAGCGAATTGATTAAGGATCAAGTAATTGAAAACCAACAAGGCATAGCGAATCAACTTAGGGTTGAGTAACTGAAGACAGTGCTAGTCGAAAACAGTTGAGA